CATCGCCCCTCTTGGGCTCCCTAAAGGATGGCTTGAATGAGCTAATTCCCTTCTGCTTTTTTCCCCTATCCTAAAGGTGTTTTTTTACACGCATCACCCCCATCTCCCCTTTTCCCTTCCCAAAGGGTGAGTTTTAAATATACCCCCCTCCCCTTCCTAAAGGGTGAATCTCAAACATATTCCTCTTCTCCCCATCCCCAAGGGTGACGTTTAAATACGATGGCTCCACGATCGTCCCCGGAGACCAAGGGGTGGACTACGAAACCTTCACAAGGAAGTGCACAGGTAAGTCCGGCTGCGGTTGCTCCCGGATAAGACCCGGACGCTGCTTCCCACCGCCCGGGACAAGCCGGACAAAGAGCTGGAGGAAACTTGGCTGCGCCGGAGCGTGTCCCGCTGCTCCCCCATCTCACCCTGTCCTGCGTGATCGGCTTTTCCTGCTGCCCCCGAGCGCAACTCGCTCCGTGGCAGCCCAAGTCCGTAGCCCCATTGCTCCTTTGTTTCACCCCAGCGCTTTGGGGTTTTTACCTCCTTCCCCCAATTTCTCCTGGCTTCTCCATCTGCGGGTGACCTGGATAAAGCACTCGCTGCACGAGGGTCCATTGTTCAGTGCTGCCGTTTCAGGGCATTTCTTACAGAAGAGCAAAAGATCCTCCAGTTTTTGCGGCTAAAAGGAATTAGTCATGCAGCTTGTTATGCAAGGACATTCTTCCCTTGTAAATTATATCCGCAGCAGCAACGTGAAGGCAGTTTGAAGGCTCGCTCCGATTTTTAAACCGTAGGAGCCTCGGAGCGGGAATGCAGGTTTGCTGGAACAATTCAGCGCTGGGGACAATTGTGGATGTGGCATTGCACAACCGGGGCCGCTGCGGCTCCGCTTGAGACGTGGCAGCTGATGGCTGAGCTGTCAGCTGCGCGATACGAACAAAGCCCTGCGGGGGAATGAAAGCGCGCGGGGAAATGTTTAGCTTAATCTCATCGTAAGTTTTGACAGGTTTTACAGAAATATGTTTTGATTTCTTTCAGAGTAACTTCCGGGGGGCATTGTATGTTTTTTTTCCCCCCATCTTGCCTGATATTAATGTCATGAGGTGAGGGGGGATGTGAAGCATTTGTAACTAATGCCTGATGTCTGTAACCAACAAAGCCTTCCCACCTCTGTAGTCCAGTGTTCTGGTTAATCTTCTGTATTTTTAGACTTATATATCTGCTTGGTGAAGGAACTGGATGTTGAGCAATCTCTCTCTTCCCAAGAAGGGGCAAATCTGTGAATACAGAGCCCTGCTTGGGTTAAAGCACTGATGACCGAGAGGGTCCTACTAATCTTTCCAGTCCTGTCTGCATTTTGTTGAGTTTGAGGAGATGATTTCCACTGCTTAAATAAGGGCAGGACTGGTCTTCTGATCAATAGAGTTCCTAGGGAAAAACTGTATTCCAGCCCTGGGAGGTAGTCACGAAATCACAGGGTTCAGCCTGTTCTGCCAAGAGATTTACAGTGGGGTCTTGTCAGGGCTACCTTAACTGCTGGTTTCCAGCTGTTCTTGAGACCTTGGCGGGGGGAGTTCTCAGAAAACCATGGCATCTTCCATAAATTCAAGCAGTCGGGGTGCGGGGAGCTGGTGACCTGTACCACAAGAACCCTCTCCCATTGAACTTTTCTTTATGTGGAACATAAGGAAAAACAAACAAACAAACAATAACCAGGCATACAGAAAAGTGGTTCTCTTGGAGTTGAGCAGCTTAAACCTCCGAGCGCCTTTGTTCTCTGCTCTCCTCGTGTCTGAGATAAGTGAAGCAGCATCTCCAGGTATCTGAGGCTTGCCAGGCAACCTTCCCCATTTATTTTCTCTCCTTGCCTTTAAGGAGTCCATCTCTTATTCTGTCTGAGTCGATTCTTAGCGTTTTCTCTGAAGGGATACCCTCTTTAGGAACAGTTCCTGTCTTCCCTTCCTTAGCAAAGGGAATATTTGTGTCGAGTGGAGGGGCAGGGAGAGGGGCTTTGGCAGACAGCAGTCACTGGTTGGATGTGTCTAGCAATTAATGGAGTCACATATTGCACTTTGGAATCTGGCCAGGTTTGTTTTCTTGCCATCACTCGCGAGTGTCAAATCTGTATTTATAAACAGGGCATTAAAACAGATAGAGTTTGAGCAAACTTTTTTTTTGACACCAGCTGGCCCCAATGCTGAAACATTTTTACAGCAAAAAGGAAATTCTGCATGTTTTAGGCATAAGCAAGATGAGAGAGGATATAATTAGGGCTTCTTTGGGGTTGACTGGGGCCCCTCGCTAGCCCGAATGTGAAGCTAATCCTTTATGGCTGCTGGATTTTCTCCCTGTTCCCCATTTTCCCCCTTCTGCAGGCTGCTTCTTGGCAGAGCGGAGGCCCCAGAGGTTGCTCTCAAACCTGCCTCTCTGCTTTCAAGAACTGGGCAAACTCCGGTACAGGTTCTCGGCCACGTGTCAGCAAAGAACTTCCTCTGCCCACGGATTAACGGCCCCAGTGCAGGAAGGAGGAGAGGCAAGTTCGTCCAGTGGCCCCATCTGTGCAGCCCCCCGTAGCCCAGACCTCTGGAGAGCCAAAGCTTAGAGATTTCCTTCCCATGCGGAGGAAAGGTGCCACATGTGACTGTGTGGTGGAGCCCGTTGGAATATTTCTGCTGGATCAGTCAGTGGAGAAAGAGGAGGAAGCGAAGGGAAGAGATCCTAAATGTTGTTCCTTGCTGTTGCTACATCTCTTCCATCCTGGTCCTTCTAAATTTTACTGGAGGGGATAAGAGCTACTATCCATGCAAAGCGCTATGACAAATGTTAGGAAAGGATAAAAAAAAAAAAACTCTGACACATGATAAACTTCCTTCCTTGTTTTGAATTCCTGTTTTGTGCAAAACACTGCCCTGAAAGCCACAGAGTCCTGCAGCTGCCTCTTCAAAGCTGAGTGTAATTTGGTGGCTGAAGGTGAGAGCAGGAGCTAGAACTGCAAAGCTCAGCATGCAGAGCACTGCCAAGCGCCCTGCTCCACTCGAGCACCAGCGATAGCTGGTGCTGCTCTGCGTGGAAAACATCTATGGCTTGCACTTTATTTAATAACCACTCTTACTAAAAGCACCCTCAGCATGCCGTACACACCGCTTACCTCGCAGGCATTAGATTACAGGGCAGGCAGAGTCTGTGTGTGCTCATTCATGTGGCTCTGCAATGAAGAAGTGCTTTTGCTTGGAAGATTTGCCTTTGTTTCTAGTGGGTATCCAGCCTTGTGCAAGGGTGGGCGTTAGGAAGGGCTGAGGTAGCAACAACAGGGAGGGTTGTTGTTAGGGGGTCATATTTTTCTTTTCCTTCCTCCCGTTCGTAACTCTTTGCATGTGGCCCACGGCCCCACTCGTTGCTGTAAACCTCCCCAGGGAGCGATAGTGGCTGAGGACCCGGGGAAAGAAGGTAAAATTGCTTCACTTGATGGTTGTAGCAGTTCAGAAGGGCTGTGTGACAAAGCAGCTCGCGGCGCATCCCCGGGGACGCTCTGGGGGCTGCTGCTCAACGACCCAACGCGCGGGACGGGCCGAGACGCTGCGATCGCGGGGCAGCGCGGCCCGCGCCGGGAGCCACCGCTCACCCCGGGCAGCCCGGGCAGGTTTCCTTGCTCTTCCAGCTCCATTCCCAAATATTCAGTGTCCTTATTACATGTCACATATCCCACAGCGGAGACTGTCTCTGAGCTCTTTACTACACTGCCGGCAGAGTAAGGAAATGCACCATCAAACTATCATCCTTCCCCTTCCCGTTACTTGGGGACAGCAGTTTCCACTCTTGAAGGAAAGAAAACATGGTAAGAAATTCTCTTCAACGCCCTTTTTTTCAGAGGCCCATGGTTATAGGCGCACAAGCATAGTCTGAGCCCTGAGCTGCTGCTCATCATTTGCTGTCACACTCAGGTCCATGTCGGGCCACACGGCCAGCACATTTTGGCTTTACACAACTAGGAGGTGGCCTCTAGTACCGTTTCCTCTTGAAGTCCTGTATAACGACCCACGTACATGGCTGTATTTCCTTTTGTCTCACCCAAAGAGCCTGGAGACCATAGGTTGAGGACATTAACTGTGTCAGGGTCATTGGACACGCGGTGCAGACACCCCCTGTGTCTTCTGGCTCAGGACTGTTTTGGTTTGGCTTAACAGCAAAGATTACCTCTGCATTAAACAGGGACTTAATTCAAGGCTTTTGATCCATTCTGCTTCGCAGCTACAGCTCTTGCCCTGCGGATGGCCCGGATCCAGACACAGCAGTAATTTGGTGGTTAGCAGGACGTGCCATCGGAATTCCAGACAAAAAGCTGAGGAGCTGAGCTGGTGGATTTGGAGGCAGGAACACAGATAAGAGTTGAAGGTTGTTGTACAGAGGATGTGAAGAGGAGGGGTTTTTGCAGTTAATTTTAAAGTCTCTTACTTGGGCTGGCAGTGCTGTCGCTGAGAGGAGTTGCATACAGTTGAAATGCTGAACTACAACACCAGTCCAAAACATAGGCTTAAAAGTTTTAATTAATTTAAATTTATTTTTAATTAATTTAACCTTACTGCACTGGCTAGCCTGGCGCATTTTCCGTGCAAGTATTACTGAGCCACATATAGACTATGCAAGGCATAGACTATGTCTGTAGTTTAGTTTCTTTAATGTGGAGATTGCCTTGAAGTAATGGAGAGGTTCAAATACTGCATTTCCCCCCATCCCACATGTGAACAGTTGTTTCTCAGTGCATCTCTGACAAAGGAAATAATGACCCTTCTATTTGGAAAGCCCCAGTCCAGATAAATAATGGCAATGACAGCATGAAATGGGATAGCTATTCATGTGTCTGAAAAGATCAGACCAAAACTGCATTGTGCAGTCAGCACAAGGAAGAACTGAAAAGCTTTGGTATAAAATAAATATCCTACAAAATTATTTCTGGTTGACATAAAATATTAGAAAGCAAATAAGAATAGAATCAACTGCCGAAATAAATGCAGACTCTTCAGGGCTTGTGGCAATTCCCATGTAGAGCCTGGCCATAACTGATGCACACAGAGCTTGGGAGATACGAGGTGAGAGTCACATCATCAATAAATACGATTGTGTTGGCATCTCAAGTTGTAAAAAAAATAACTCGAAGACATATAAGAAGATAGGTGCTCTTCTGCATTTGGCTACAACTTCCGTTGCTAAAATGGCTTTGTAAACCAGTTTCTTACCAGTTTTGTTGTTCTTTTTTAATGTCTACTTTCCCATACATACATTGAAGGGAAGACCTAGGGACAGTGATGGTTTGGGGGCCACTCTGCCCTCTGACTTCTGTCCGACTCCAGCGAAATCTTTCCTTCCTGTGGAGAAAAGAGCAAGGATCAGGATGAGAGCCCCCATTCCCTCCCGCTCTGTGCTCTGGTATATCCCCAGTGTGGGATCGGTGCCTCCGTGATGAACAGCACGTCCTGTGTTGATGGTCCTGGGGACAGAATATTTGTCTCAGATGACACAAAGAACGTGGTTTGCCTCCTCGCCAGGTGACTGAAGGAGTTTGGGGGAAGAGGTGGAAAACTTACTAATTAATCACAAGATGAGTAAATGCTGATCGAAACAAATCCCTGCTGAAATCTGTCGTGTGCTGCTGGCAGTTCAGCATGGGACACATCACCAAAGCAGGTCTTGCTCTCGGATGCCTGACCTGGATCTAGCAGGCAGGTGAGGCCTGGCGTGGTGGCCTTTTCTCCCCATGTCTCTTGCTTGGCCACTCAGAGCTGTAAGACTGAGAGCCTGAAGCTTTTGACAGTGTCTTGCTTTCTTGCAGCTAATATCCTTTCCTGGTGATTCACTGCATTTCAATGGGGAGTTTTGTAGTGCAGCTGAATTACAAGGATCTGAGCGGAGCGGGAAAAAAAAAGGGAATTCCATCTAGGAAATCTCTGCAGCTTGGCATCAAGCTTTGCTGACAGCCAAGAGCAGCTTAATCAGTATATTTGGAAAATCCTGCCTTACTGATAAGTAAGGGGTTTGGAGAAAGATGCTAAGCAATGTTCATTAAGGCACTCATTGTGCTTTTCATGTTTGCACAGCACCTACTGCCAACTGCAGTTAAAGGAGTAGTGACATTAGGAGGAATTAATGCTGTTAATTTCTGCCGTTTGTAGCTCGTGAAATCCTCTCAAATAAAGCTGCTATTTCTGTTCTACCCACTTCTATTAATAATACGCCTTATTTGCTTCTCTCTGCCCTGAAATGCATGGCTTAGGAAGGTGGTTGCGCAGAGCTAGGCAGGATTTCCTCTTCCAGAGGAAATCTGCTGTCTCTCTATGATTTGTAAGAGTCTCCCACACACCCAGCAAATTCCTAAAAACAGTGTAAGTGTAAAAACACTAAGTGTAAGTGTTTTTTGGTGGCTTTGGGTTTTTTTTTTTTTTTTGGTGAAAATGAGGATATTAATGCCTTGAGATTTTGAGTGCATTTGGCACCGAGGACTTCCAGCACAGTGAGGTGAGGTGCCAGGGTGGAACTGATTAACTGTGAAAGAGGAAATCTGTGAGTGTAAAAGCGCTTGCGTTTTGATCCCCTTATCGCTCTGAACATGTTTCAGACCATTGTGATTCCCAAGCCCTCCTGCTCAGGGATCCGGAGCAGCGGCTGGAGGGACAGGCAGGAAACCTCCCCGGCTGCTCCCAGAGCTCATCTGGAAGCTGACTGCTTGGCTTTATCTGCCCCGGCCACTGGCACGTTAAGTTAAAGCATCACATACTGGTAGTTCATATTCAGTACAGAGGACCAAAACCCAAGGGTGTGGATATATCCATGGATATAACCTCCATGGGGAGACGGGAGGAGAAGGCACCAGCTTGGGTGTAACCTTTCAAGCCCATACAGGTACACGTGTCCTGGGGAAATATTGCAAAAGACTGTGACTCCAAGTCCTAAGTCTAACCTCAGTTGCTCATTAAACATCTTGGGACTTAACACGATGAGGTAACAGTTGCTCAGACTCCGCAGGCTCGAGGTGATCTAAAGCATGAGAGCTCACAGGGAGCAGCTAATTTGGGCCCTCTTAGATGCCGCTCATGAAGCTGCTCTCAAATAGAACGAGCAAGTGCTCAAACTCTTCTGCTGAACATCAAGAGCCCCAAGGAGCCGGGGGTTCATGCCAAGTTAAAGCTCATGCTGCCAGATACACTCCTTCAACCTCCTTTCTGGGTCACTCAGAAAAAGCTCTGCACAGAAACTTGGAATTCCTCATTCTCATCATATTCCATTATCCGTATAAAGGGGCATGCTCCAAAGCAGGCTTCAGGATCTGCAGCAGCCTTTGGTTTAAGTAGCAAAGTTGAAAACCTACATATTCAAGGTGGAAGTGATCGGTCCATGACATGGTTACAGCGTAGCAGGGGCCAGGACTTGATGACATTAAATTGCCTTTTAGCACCGTGTTCCCACAGGAACCACAGCACAATTCTTAGCAAAGTGTGGCCTCCTTTGCTCTCAGACTGGGGGAGCAAGTTGGGTTTTTTTCCTATAACTGTTAATAGTAACGTTCAGGGATTTACAGTGTCTCTTCACCTTGGGTATTTCCTGGTTGTCGGTTCATTTACGCTTCTAATCAATCTTGGCAAGAGGATTTATTTGCTGTCAGGAATGCGAGTTCTCACCAGAGGCTTCTCGTTCTTGCCAGGAATAGGGCACCTGGGAGAGAAGTTTTGTTTTCCTGCTCTTGTCATGCACATGGCTCTTCTCCTTCAAGAGATCCATTTACATGTCTAGATTTTTGAACAAAGTCTCTCTTTTTTGTTTCAAAATTGGAATTCTTCATGGAGTTTATGTACTTTTACAGACTCCCCCCCACCATTTTCCCCTTTTTTTTTTCCATCAGCAAAAAGGTATATAAGGAATAAAATGTGAGGAGGATTAATGAGGGCTTTAATGCTTAAAAAGTTGATATTTTTCTTCAAAGATAGTTCTGTTTATTCAGTCTTTGAAAAAGTGTTTTACCAAGCTCTGACACTTGTCAGCTTTCAGAGAACATCCCACCTTTTCTTCTGCATCGATTTCTAGCCACACTTTTTCTGAGAATGGACAGTGTAGGCCTGATTCTTGCAGAGCTCCTGGGCTCTCCTGACCATTTATGCAGAATGCTGCAAAGAACCTAAATGAAGGTGATGGTAGTGAACGTTAGCACAGTTGGAGACTGTGTTCTCCCCTGGCAAGTAGTCAAGGCAGCAGATAGACAAAACACCCACGCTGAGCTGGTCACAACGTGGATTAACATGACTCTTTTCAAAGTTTATTCTTCTGAGTCATCTTGCTTCACTGCAAAGGTGTTCACAGGCAAGGCTGAGGTGGCTGTGATGAGGCTTATTGCACAACTGCCCATCTGCTCTGTGTTTCCACACGACCCTGCTCACCGGATTCAGCATCCTGCCAGGAGCCCAGGGATCCGAGTGGAGATCAGAGGCCCCGTGGTGCTTGCGATCACGGAGGCGTCCTGCACCTCAGCGCGAGAGCCACCTCCTCGAGACAAGCAGTCTGCAGGCTCTTACACGTGCAGCCAGACTAAAGAACTAGTCTGGCCTGATATAGCAGAACCCAGCTGTGAAGCAAGAACAGCTTTAAAAATCCAAGGGGGAATGCTCCCCCTTCTCTGCAAGTCTTAGAAATGAGTAGAAAATCACATCTGGGGAAGTAGTTGCAGATGGTTTTGCTCCAGCTGCTTCGCCCCTTATAAACTCATTCTACAAGTGAGCCAGAAGTGTTGCTAAAGGGAAGGAGGAAGGATCAGCCCTGCGCAGGGGCCAGGTTCTGAATGTATGTTATAAAATGTGACCCTTGCTGTCCTGCTACCCTGTAAGAAAGAGCGTGGCTGGGTGATCGCTTTCTGCATGACCTGCAGATGAGTGGTCTGGCTGGAGGCATCACTGGGCTAGCTCGGTGGCCTTGCCCTGCCTCTTTTTAGCCCTTTCCAAGCTTAATACTAATGGTGCAGTCAGCAGAGCCGGATCCCTCCTGGTTGCTCCGAGCTCCCTAGGGAGACACGGGCCTAGCTCTGGCACATCCTGAGCCAAGGGCAGCCGTGCGGGACCCCTCCAAACCCGCGGCGGTCCCGGATGACTTGGCCATTGAGCTGGGAGGGCTATTCCCACCCAACAAAAGAGCGGGGTGAGGACGCCTCCGTTTTCATGGCTCTCCTCGGTTCTCTGTCTCTCCAGATGACGTTCGGCTGTTCGGCTTTGTCCGGTTCACCACGGGCGACGCCATGAGCAAGCGAGTCAAGTTCGCCCTCATCACCTGGATCGGGGAGAGCGTCAGCGGCCTGCAGAGAGCCAAAACCGGGACTGACAAGACGCTGGTCAAGGAAGTAGTACAGGTAACGTCTTCCTCCTGCTCCTAACCCGCAGCTCGCATCCCTTTTAGCTCTGTGGACATCAGCAGGAGGTGCGTGAGGGGGAAGGATCAGATCATCCTTGAACGTCGTAGTTAATTGGGGAAGCCCACGTCTTGGGTAATTTTTTCCTTGAGGCCTTTTGTCTCTGCACAATGAATTCATGGATACAGTCAGCTGAAGTCTAAAGTCCCTATCAGTACCAATTAACTAACAGCTTTTAATAGCTAACTGGATTTGAATAGTCCTCTGTTTGGCATTGGGCGTAGCAGGAAAAAAGAGAAACACGCTTCGTGCACACCTTGGAAGGACTTCTCTGGAATTTGTCTGCCCGATCTGAGCATATCATTGAACTGTTTCAAGGCCTAGCAGGGTGTTGAGACACGAGGCTTGTTCCTTCAGGCTTAAAACTCAATGGATGTTAAAACTAGGGAAAACAACCAGCTACCGTGAGAGATGGGAATTGCGGAAGGCCGCAAAGAACTGTCATGGAAAAGCAAGGCTGCCTGAGAAGATACTGATGTTTAGCATATGTTTGCTCTGAAGAAGTACTCAGAGCAAGATTAGCTCTTTCAACTAAATCCAGCACCAACTCTCTAATGCCTGAGAAGGGCCTTTCTTACTCTGTGGGGAGAAGAGGCTGAATATTGAAATACCTTCCTCAATAATTCTCCTCTTGCCTATATAAAAAAAAAAATCTTCAAAAAGGATAATATGGAGAATGAGAGCTCAGTTCATTGGGTAATTTCTATTATATAGAAGTTTTTTTTTTTTAAGATAGGAAGCATAAAGAAAATACATACATATATATTTCATGTTGCAGGAGACAAGCATTGGTGCTAAATCTTTCAAAATAAGAACTATGCAGACGGTCCTGAGAAGAGACTTTCATGGTCCCTGGTAGATAGGAAAGCAAGCCTCTATGTGAGGCACCTGAAATTGTATAATTGTAATTGGAGATAATATAGAATACTAATGAATGACTCATAAGAGTTAAGCCCAAGATTTTTTTAACATATGTTTAGACACTTGATTCCTGTTGATTTGAACAGCATCTCCAAATGCCACTCCAAGATCTGTCCCTCAATGCTGTTACATATCATTTGCAATTTCACTTATTTCATATTTGATAAGTAATCTCTGCAAGCTGATAATGTGGTGGAACATTAACTATTCTTGGCAGTTACTTAAAAGCATTCATATTCCAGTTAATTTCTGCTAAAATATGAAGACAGTGCAACTTGTGTTCAATACATTTTAATTTAGCAACCCAGGCTAACCCATTCTAAATTAGTTCTAACGCAAAATCAATGGCACTATCTTTCCCTTAAGAAAGATAGGAATTATTTTGTCAGCTAATTGGAACAGTGTCTTTCTAGCTGCATTAAGGCTATTTGTACAAGTGTCTTTATGGGCATCTCACATGACCATGTGAGAATACCTCCCATATCCTGTTCTGATGTTAGTGGATATCCATGAAGAAGTAATCTGGGACTATACAGATCAACCAGTGACACAATTACAGCCATTTCCAATAGGAAGATATTTCTGATTCACTTTTTAACACTGTAGAGATGCTTAGCAGGACAAACTTACTACAACTTACTATTCCCAAGATGCTGCAGTTCCTGGAGAGACAGGGAGTAAACAGTAACTAGTATTCCTGTGCAAAAACAGGCAGCCTTTTCACCCAAATGCAGTTTCTGGCTCGCTGTTTGTCTTCAAGCCAATTTCAATGAAATGAAGGATGTGAGTTTACGCTCCCAGTACATAGTGCCTGAAACAGCCACGTGTGCAGCTCAATCCCAGCCAGTGGAGTTGGATGTATGTAGATCTGTTTTCCTTCTGCATGCATGTAACTTTGCAGATAACCTGTAGCAAACAAGAAACAAACAAAACCCATAAATCCTCCAATTTAATAAATAAGGAAACCACTTTGATATCTAATAAGGGGAGAAGTTTATCTCAGCGCTATGTCTCTCAATACTTCTCTTGCTCTTCATCTTCTGAAGTTCATAGTCACCTCACTATTTCTGATTTTTGCAGGGATATGCAGAGATATGAGCAGCATGTAGAAAAATACAGGCAATTATTTGCTGTAATAAGAAAGTACAGATTTGACTCAATATTGGTTTCTCATTTGGGATAATCATTACTCTGAAGTGGGGGATATTTTTACAAACCTGAAGACTCTTTGTGAGCTCTGCTCAAAGCTGAGCAAACAGCAGCAAACGCTGCTCTGGCACCGGGACACTCGAAGCAGAAACAAGTCAGCTCCAACACGGCCTCACAAGCAAATACCACCACGTTGCATCTGTAGAAGAAAGGACCTTCACACAGGGTGGTGATTAAGAGCCTCCTAGGAGCACCTGCCATAAGGAAAACATAAGGGCTATCAGCTGCTCAGGAGCAGGTTCTGGGCTTGTAAGCACAAGGACACAACACCATAAAGCAGCCAGGTGGCCCCTGCTTTTATCTTCCTCACTTAGAAGGGGGAGCAGGTGCTGCAAATTCTATAGGGAGGTGCTGGGAATGATGCTGATTGGCAGCAGGGGTTGCCAGAAAGTCTCTCAGCAAGAAAGGACAATTGATTTTTAGCTTTAATAACTAAAATTACAGGGACGGAGCTCATCTGGTACAAATAACCCTAGTTCCCCTGATCTGTACTGAGAATCAAGTCTTATTTGGGGAATATCCTTGTTACCTTTTTTACATTGTAGGAAATGCATTTTGTATTTCTTTCAGCACTGCTTTCAGGAACACTCAGTAGCATTTTTCATGGCTCTTTATTTTCCATCCTTCCCTCTTTACCTCATCTAGAAGACAACCTCAGCAAGCATGCGAAAAGCAAGGGTATGATGGGGAAAAAAGTATTTATCTAAACTTCTTAATAGTCAAGCTAGGTACTCATGTGTGGAGGCTTCACTGTGTAAACAGGCACATGGAGGAAGGTGATGCCCGAGTGTCTCAACTTTGCAGAGTCTCTTAAGCTTTTATGTCCCCAGGAGGAAGGATGATTCTACCTGTTACTTCCTTTGTACGTACAAGTTCTGGCTCATTCAGCCTCAAAGCAAATCAAAACCTCAAAACACCTCAAAAAAGACATCTCAAAAACATCAAGAGACCTGTTCTCAGGGCTGCTGTTTGGAGCCCCGTCGCTGCAGAGGAAGGGAGACGCAGAGAGCTCCGCTCGCACTCCCGAGTCCAGGCTGCTGGAATACAGCCTGTTACAGCTGCATTCAAGGCTGTTACAGCAATAAAAAACCCCTGCAAGGTGAAACCTGGCAACTTTTAGCAAGGTAGAGTCATGTCTTGGGGCGAAGAGCCTCCTTCGCTTCAGGATGAAGCCACGGTGCTTTTTTGGCTAAGGAAAAGCCTGGCAAAACGGCATGGGGCTCGCAGGGAAGTCATTGCACTGATGGAAAAGGGCCATCAGGGCTCCTTTTTTTCCCTCTCAGCATTGCTTCCCCCCTGCAAACTTGTCACAAATGCATTTCCCACCGAGAGCTCTCAGCCCTTCGGTGGCAGCGCTGAGGCCCTTCTGACCGGACCAAGCTCTTCCGCAGCCCTGCCCAGCTTGTCTCTCATTCTCCATGAACTTTGCCTCTTCTCTGTTTTCTCCAGCACTTCTACCCCCACAAAGTCATGTGCTCTATTATTTGCCTAAATCGTATTCAGGGTAAAACAGCTCTGTTTCTGTGAGCAAATATCCGTGGCATTTTATTCATCTTTATTTTTGGTGAGGAATTTGCCTGGCTTTAGTGATGTCAACAGCTTTACTGAGTTCCTGCTTTGGGCTCACAGTCAGACCTGTCCTGTTCACCACTTTCCTCCCGATTCCCCTCTGCTCTAAGGCTGCTCCCTAAGGAGGAAGGATCCACTCTGGTCTATGCGAAAGCTGGCAGGGCCTTTCCTGCTGCCCTGGAGCCCCACAGCGGATGCTGGACCAGGGTAGATGCAGCCAGACCAGAGCTTGTCTATAGGGGCTTGTCACTCTGTAGCTCTTCCTGCACTTGGAGCAGCTGTAAGGAAAAATGGCCTTTGTCCCCATGGCCTCTGCCCTGAGCGTTAGCTGGGCGGTGGGTAAAGGCTGCACTGTGGATCTGAGGATTTAGGCCTCAGATAAATAAATAAAACCAGCAAGAAGCTGCCCGGCTACCCCTGTGTGTGCAGACGAGAGCGGGATCCTCCTCCTGGCTCCCGGCTGGGATTTGCACGGGCCTCTGCAGAGCTTCCCTGTGCAGGATCTGCACCGGGCTCCCATACGAGCTATTTTACAGTCCCATATGCTAAACATTGAGGGCCTGGAAGAAAATCTACTCCACCCTGTTTTTCCCCCCAGTAAAATTGCCTGGAAGGAAAAGTGCATTTGCTGCATGCTGCAAGGGAGATGGAGGCTCTGCCTGTGCAGCCAGGGCTGCGGGGCTGGAGCCCGTTCCGTGGTGTCCTGCACTGGGAATGGGCGCTGAGGACACGGTGACCTGCACTGGGACAACTGCTCCGTGGAGAAACAGCAAAGCTTGGTCAGACGGACACATCGAGGGGCCCTGTGCAAACCCTGCGCGTGTCACGTTCAGGGATTTAAGACAAAGCAGAGGTTCCCGCGGTGTCGTGAGGGCGATGGAGATAAATGGCACCGTTGTGTGCGTGATCCGGGTGACTCCGGGCGGACACAAAGGCTGGGATTCACGCGTGAGGCTTCCTGCTGCCGCTGGGAAGAGCCTGGGGACGGGGGAAGAGGGAGAAGCGGAAATGCAGGAGGCCAAATGAAGATGCTCGTCAGTGAAGCAAGGGCCGAAGCGTCGCAGATGTTCCCGGCGCCTTGGGCACACACAGCGCTTGGAAGGAGCTGGAAAACAGCATGTGCGAGAGGAGAGAAACCAGGGGCTCCTCCACGCCGAGAACGAGAGGCTCCCGAGGGCAGGAGGAAGATCTGGTGCTGGAGCAGACACAGCACAGACGCGTTGCTCTGAGCCACCTGGAGCCAAGAATTTACAGCCCTGGGGCTCTGTAGGAGCTGCGACTGGTAGTTTACAATTGCAGGTGACAGTTGTGTGGAATAAAGGCCCCCACGGCTGAAGCAGTTGGGGGTAGCTTTATATTCTGGCTGTTTCAGAGGTGACAGAGAAGGAGTGAGCTGCAGCCAGGGTGGCCCTGGAGCTGGGATGTGGCTCATCTCCTCATGCGAGACCTGCAGCCTCCCGTGTCTTTTGCCCTGATGACACAGGAAGCAGCAGATGGTTTCAGCTGTCTCATGTGGCTTCCTTCCTTCGTCTTAGGATTTGAGCCCTGAACGAGTCTTTGCAAATCTTAACCCCAGAGAGCTGAAAGAGCCAATTTAGAGTGATGAGGGAGGCTGCGATTGAAGAAGGGTCAAGTGGGATGTTGAAATCAGGCTCCCCAGGCAGCAAACTCCGCCAAAGCACCTTCCGCCCTTGCAGCCAGGCTTGACCCACCAAGGTGGGCAGGAGTCAGTGCAGAGAACCAAACAAGCCCTGCCCGGGCAAGGTAGGGAGTTTTTTATAGCAGTGACCCAGATTGCACTCACAGGGTACAAATCTGGCACAAGAGGTGGCCCAGTCAGCTAAGAGGATATTTAAGAGTGGCAGAACATGCTGGGAACATCACCCATCTGGTCACCTGAGATCACGCTGCTAAGGGGAAATTGCTCAAACCTTGCAAGGTCTCGTGAGTATGGGGGCAAAATCGTCGCTGATGCCCACAGATCATCACCCTGGAATCATCTGGGTAACTGTGTGGTGAGATTTGAGTAATTGTAATTACTTTGTGTTGCCTGTGATTTAGTGAAGCCACTGCTGTTCCTTGGGACTTCTTCTAGGTGCTGATAAACAACAGCAGAGCAGCCAGGGCTTCTTGTAGCTGCTCTGAGCTGCCCTTTATTTTCCGCTAAGAACTAAGGGGAATTCTGCTGAGGATTTCCTGCCGTGTGAACCAGGCTCAGCGGGGCGAGGGGGAGGGAGCCGTGCTGCTCTCCCTGCCATTCTTGCCCCGCAGGAAAGAGCCAGCGAGGCCCTTTCAGGCTGAATCCGAGGCCCTTTCAGGCTGAATCCGTCGCCACCCCGTCCTCTACCCAAACGAAGGCCCTGGAGATGCTGCCACATGAGGAGCTCTCCCAGGGCCACGACGGGGAGAGCGGGCGGAAACCCCGGCACGTTTGCACGGGGCTGCTCCACCTCCCGGGAGGTGACAAGGACCTTCCGGGCGAGGTGGGATCCCATGTGGAAGGTTTGCTCCGATCCCATGTGGAAGGTTTGCTCCTATCCCGTGCGGAAGGGTTGCTCCGATCCCATGTGGAAGGTTTGCTCCAATCCCGGGCGGAAGGTGTGCTCCGCCGGCCGAGTCCATGTCACGGAACAGCCCAGGGCCTGGCCCTGGCCCTGCCACGAGCCCACGGGCAGCGCGAGAGCTGCCGCTTCCCAGCGTGATAATAAAGGGACTCCTTAAAGATCCATTGGGATACTCAGAGCACGGAGCGCTCTGGAGCGCATTAGAGAAAAACACAGCCTGTAGTTGAGCACCTCGGCTTTGGCCAAGAGATGGTTCAGGGAAGGGACAGGGAAATCTGCTAAAGTGGTTACTCTTTTTAAATACTGTTTAGGAAACTTGGCTGAGCTGCCCACGCATGCACCTCTACAAAGAGCTGTTGCGTAGGGCAGGATTGGGTCTTGCAGCCAGCGAGAAGACACAAAAAAAGGTCTGCAGATGAAGTGTTATGTCTCACCATCCCTATAGCCCTGTTATCCACAGCTTTGTGTTCATCCTCCCTATCATGTAGATAAGGAGTCCAGCTCACAGAGCCACAGGAGCGGGCTGACCCTTCTTCATGTGAGTGCTGGGACACAAATCCCGCTCTCTGACGCTGCTTTTTCTTTGTCTCTCGCAGAACTTTGCCAAAGAATTTGTGATCAGCGACCACAAAGAGCTGGACGAGGATTACATCAAGAACGAGCTGAAGAAAGCAGGGGGGGCCAACTACGACGCACAGACTGAGTAAACGCACGGCCCTCCTGGCACCACCACCGGCATCTCCAAGGGAGGGGAAAGGCCCAACCAACTAACCCAGCTGAGATGAGGCAACTGAACGAGCACCCACCTTTCTGTGCACCTGAGAGTTCCCTTTCTTTGCATTCAGCAGACTTTTGATTTTCCATTCCGTCTAATGAAACACCCCTCTCCGGGGTGCTGTTTCTCCCCCCTCCACCCTATTTTTTACTCATAACTTTGTCCGCGCTCTTGCATCTGTGGAGTTTAGGTTTGGCTCTGCTTTGGTCTGTATTCAGCATCGTGTTCGTAGAGGCTTGCCCTTGTGTCCTTCTTCGTACGTGTGCGTGTGTGTGTTTTAGTTGGGCTCAGGCTGGTCTCGGAGGGGAGGGAGTCTTTGGGGTCTCCTAGGCTCAGATCAACATGAGTTGACTTCGCTGAAACTCTGATTCAATTGCCTAAGCTTAACGTCCAGCTGAGATGATGTTACTTAACAGCTTAAAAAGCAAAGCAAACAAACAAAAAACTCAACTCTTAATAAATGGGAATAAATTTGCCTTAAAAATTGCTTCTTGATAGTTGCTATGCTGTGTGCTGCATCTCCACCCCTCCCTCCTAAAAATTAGATCCAACACGATTTGAATGTGGAGTTTTGTTGGTTTTTTGAAGTTATCATGGCACAGTAAACGGGGAGGGGGGATTAGAAATATCTGGACATTTGCTCACTATTTTGTGTACGTCAGTCTCGGGGTTTGTATTTGATTTTCCTAATGCCGGGGCTCAGGAGGAGAAACTGAAACACATAGATTTCCTTTTTAAATGTCTGCAGAAAAGAAAACTAGCAGCCGCTGAAGCCTAGCAGCCTTCTGTGCCCCCGTTTCTTTTGCAGCTGAACGTGTCTTCAGGCATTTGGGGCCTGTGGAAGCACCGTCCTGCTCCGTCCCGGCAGGGGTTGAACATCCAACACAGGTTGTTGGCACCAACCTGCTCGGTTGGGGGCTTCTTTGGGGGGCTTTTTCTTCCAGCAGAGGCAGTTGTCCCCAGAGTGATGTGCAGGGCGAAACTGTGTTGTGCCAGGGCTTGGGAGTCAGCGCTAGCGACCCATTAAAGAAATAAATGTTTTTCAAGAACAGTTCTCAGCAGCTCTGTCGTTCTTTACCTTCCCTGCGACACTAGGGCTCTGTATTTAGGAGGTCTCTTAATCCTGGGTGTAAAGCTCTGAGCTTTTGCAGGCCTGGTGCTATTAGGAGAATTAAACATGGGCTTAAATGTGAAATGGTCTTGGGACCTGCAGCCTGTGCGTCTGCACCATGAAAAGCAGCGTGGCCACATCTGACACACTTCTTTTTTAACAAGCAGCTCTATGGCTAAATTTCCAGTGCCAAAACGCCGAGTGGGACTTGTAATTAGGTTAAAGAGAATTGCACTCCCGTGTGCAGTGAGTATAGAGAGGTCAAGAGCAGATCTGGGAGGGGAAGCGCTTTGCAGCCAAGGTTTGCAGCTTCCCAGTGAGTACAGAGAGGTCAGGAGCAGATCTGGGAGGGGATCTTTGCAGCCAAGGTTTGCAGCTTCCCTCCCAGCCCTGCCTGGCACCTTATGATGCTGGGACTCACCCTGTCACAACTCGCCCCGGAGGGAGGGAGGTGACGCTTATTTCTGCAAGACTGACAGCAAGGTCGGGCCTGGCGAAGGGAAGAGCCTTGCAGGGGGCTGCGATGCTCCCAGCTTGGCTCCCACTTCAGGGCCCGCCATACACTGCCCTGTGACAGCTGGTGGGGTCACACGAAGGTCCCTGTGTGGTTCCCACGGGGAGGTTAATGCACCCTGCGCCCCGTCCCTTGCATTTTCTGACTTCCCGCAGCCATTCGGTGGTTTGAAATAGGACCCCCAAGCACTCCCAGAGATAACCATCCCCTTTGCTCTTATCTCTCCGTACAAGATACCCTGTCACCTCTCCGAATTGCCTCCGTAATGTCCTGGCACACGCAGGTTCCACGGGCGAATCCAGCGCAGCGCTGGCACGAGCAGCGTTTGATCCGCCTGAGCAAAAGGAGCAAGAGGAGGGATGACTCATCCGTGACAGGACATCAGGGCAAATCCAGGGAAAGGGCAGCCGAAATTACAACCCTCCCTCCTGCTCTGCTCCTCGCGTCTCGAAGAGTGAGCTGAAATAGAGGCTAAATGGCTGTTTTTAAGACGTTGATGACACTCCTGCATTACCGCATGGTCTCTTCTTCCTCGGGAGAGTGACTTTATTGGGATTACGCCAAATCCCTCTCCTGTTTGTAGCACGAGCAGCTCAGCAAGTCACCTGGTGTAACTCATAATCTGCTCCGCAGACTAGAACTCGTCTCGGGCTCTGCTGGTGCTCGGCTGGGCGGGTATTTACTGTTTGCACTCACTATCCTGCCCTGCTAATGATGGTAAGAACGGATTGACAGAATGAAGCAGAAAAACAAAAGTTCGCGCCTGTTATTTTGGGCTTCTTTGGGGTCTGACCCTGGGCACGTCACAGCACACAATATGAATTGGAAATTGCCTCTGTTGAGGCGGGGTTGCCCTGCGGTCACACACAGCAGCGACTCCGTCGAGGGCTGCGTTTTGTACCCGAGTGCCTCATTTTTCTACCTCGTTTTTCTCGAAGGCTTTTCCTAAGGAGGTCGCAGAGCATTTCACAAAGATCAGCATTAACCAGACTGCACTGTCCTTCCAGAGCCCCACGTTGTTTCTGCTTTGAGAAGGGCCCTTTAGGGAGGAATTGGAGCACAAATCCCAGCCTGGGTGTGACAGGGCCCCACGGCCTGAGGCCTTAGCCTCTTAACATCCACATTCCTCACACACATTCCTGGCCTTATCAGAGCCACCGATAACGCCCGTCCTGGAACTGGCTCTAAGGACTGTAGGATTTTTTTTTTTCCAATGTATTTTTTAAATAGATGTATTTTATACTGGGCATCACCAAAGGATTTTCCATTCCTCTGTGCTACTAGTTGGAAACTCTTCCCAAGCGGAAGGGGTGGGACACACAGAACTGACGACTTCGTGTCATCCCACGGCCACGAGGTGCGACGGTGCCGAGGGACAGGGTGGCCCTGGGGAGGCCGTGGGTGATCCCGGCCGCGCTCCGCGTGTTTTCATGGCCCGGAGCCCCAGCGCTCCTAATGCCGGGTTAGGGCCGGCTCTGCCGACCGGACCCCCGTCCGGATCTCGTCTCCCCAGCCCTTGCTGCAGCCCCCGCGGCCAGGACGGCAGGACACGGAATCCCAGAATCCCAGAATCCCAGAATGGTTGAGGTTGGCCGGGACCTCTAGGGATCCCCCAGTCCAGCCCCTGCTCCAGCAGGGACACCCAGAGCACGTGGCACAGGGTGGCATCCAGGCAGGTTGGAAGATCTCCAGAGGAGGAGACTCCACAACGTCACTGGCCACCAAGAAGAGTTTGGCCCCATCCTCCCCACACTCTCCCCTCAGGTACTTGCCCATGTTGATCAGATCCCTCTCAGGCTGCTCTTCTCTAGGCTGAACAGACCCAGCTCACTTGGTCTTTCAGAGGGCCGCGTTGTCTCCCGGCCGCCGCTGAGGGAAGCAGAAGCTCCGTCCCGGGCCCCGCGCCGGTCCCGCTCGCTGCACGAGGCCCCTTCGTTCCCTTGGGTTCCTCGGCGCTGGGAAAGCAGGAGAATCCCGCCAATACCTCACACCTCTCTCCCGCCTCCCTCACCAAAATGTCCAATAAAGTTTCTTCATTAACCTGAAGACACTCACAGAATGGAAGAACATTTCCACGCAAATCCAGCCGAAGGGGAACAAACAGCATCTGTTCTGCACATATTAAACACGGGCAGTCGATGAATAGACTTATCTCCCTTATCACGATTAGCCACATTTCTGCCTTGTAATTTTGGCCTATCACTCAACAGAAACAGTAATCAGGATGTAATACATCCTAGGGGCAAATTCCAGCCGTGCAGCTGCTCCAGGCAGCAGCTGCCCCGCGCAGCGGTGCCAGCGAGGGCTTGTTACACCCGGGCCAGGCTCCAGTGCTGGGGGTACCAGTGGGTACACGGTGTAAAACAGACAGTTTAAAAACCATAAGGGTTGAACCTTGCCCTGACAGAGCTAATTCCAACGTTGGCTCTAATGGGAGGGAGCAAACGAGCATGTTCCATTTGCAAATGGTCTCACTTTTTTTTGCAAACACCTTCAGTTCAGGTGGAATTTCAGAGTTAACGAAAAACTTTTGAGGAATAAACACCAAAAAAACCTTCTGGAAGTTATCTGGGATAAGGATGTTCTGGAAGGATAAGTAAGCACTTCCTTTTGCCTTTAAACTCTTCTCCAAGAAGCACCTTGCCTCTCGCTATGTCTCCTAACACATGTGGGCACTTTCTGGAGAATCCTTAAGCTCCACGAATCACATTGCTACGGGGTGAACACGGATGCAGCTCTGGAGTGCTCTGGTCAAAAACCTCAATCACAACCTGATAAGTAGTATGATAAGTACAACTTGTATCAGAGCCATAAACCAAAAACACTACAAATTTAATACCTTCATATTTCTTATTTAAATGCTAGGAACCTGGCAGATGAAAGCATCATCTGCTAGATGGCCCTTTGTGCAGCTCCCCTCTTCCTCGATATTCCAGTTCACGCCTGTTTCTGAAAACTCTCTGCAAACATTTCAGTTTCCTTCCGTCCTGATAATTAATGCCTTAAGTGCCTGGAAAGATAAACACTGTCTTTAAGCAGCACAATCTCCTGATCAGTTTATCTGAGGATTATTACACATGTGCACAGAAAAGTCAGTCACAAACTGAGCACATTTTGGCCCTAGTTGGTGATTTCTTTGCAACCAGTGCGATGGGATATTCCAAGAAGAATCACTAAACTGGGGCATTCAATCAACAGGTATATCCAGCTAACAAAACTCAGTGAGCTATAAGGCTCTTCTGACCTTAAACTCCAAGCACGTTCCCTGTCTCAGGTACCACAATATGAAACTAATGCAATGAGCAT